TATAGCATGAAATCCTATGGCGGTATCTCTCTTTTTTTTTCATGAAATAAATAAGTTTTAAAGAAAATAAAAAATGAAGCTTCTAAGTTTCCTTCAGGAATTAAAAAGATGCTCTATTTGGAGCTATTAGCTACTCAAAATACAGTCTTTCTATAATGCCAGGAAGGCTTCAAACTCATTTGTGGTGGCAACTGATTAACCTGCTTAGTCAAGAAAGCTTATGTACAAAATTGGATGTTTCAAAGTGAATGTAATATTCTGTTCTCTTGGAAACTATTCACAGTAATTTGTGTTTAGTAAAGACTTTCCAAGTATTGCTGGGGTGGGGAATGGGATATAGCATGAAATCCTATGGCGGTATCTCTCTTTTTTTTCATGAAATAAATAAGTTTTAAAGAAAAATAAAAAATGAAGCTTCTAAGTTTCCTTCAGGAATTAAAAAGATGCTCTATTTGGAGCTATTAGCTACTCAAAATACAGTCTTTCTATAATGCCAGGAAGGCTTCAAACTCATTTGTGGTGGCAACTGATTAACCTGCTTAGTCAAGAAAGCTTATGTACAAAATTGGATGTTTCAAAGTGAATGTAATATTCTGTTCTCTTGGAAACTATTCACAGTAATTTGTGTTTAGTAAAGACTTTCCAAGTATTGCACATGAATTTGTCAAAGAGAAGCTTATAATCACTTTAAAGGTAGGAAAACAATGGCTTGGTAGCAGTTCATAGTTGTTTCAGTGATCAAAAAGAATGTAGAATATAGTTATATTTTAATTATATTAGGTAATATTTTTATAAACTTTAAATCACTGTACAAAGAAAGGTATTCTTAGTAAAATAGCTGGTCCTTCTCATCACACTGGATCCATTCAGTCCAGTTAAACTTCTGCCTTTCTTCTGTGTATTTTATATGATAAACCTATGGGTACATTAGAGTTCACTTTTAGAACATATTTAACTTTCAGAGTAGGTCATTATATGTACAACTTGCCTCATAATCTCTCCTGACACTATATTGCTTCGCTTCCTTTGTACTTTATTGTCTAAAATTATCCAGCACATTCTAATTTTCTTCCCCTGTTATGACACTGTTTTGCAGCATTTTGGGGCCAGGTCAAGTCTTTATTCATGATCTTAATGGTCTCAGTGGGTGGATTGTTCCAAGTAAGCATACTTGGGGATAACCAGGAGTTAATGGTTGTATTCTAATAATAGTTAAAAGTACACATTAACAGTTCATTGTTATTTAGACCTCTGAGATGTATGTTTTGTTTAAATAGGTGCAAATGCCATCCAGATGCTTATAAAATAATTTATTGGTAATAGAATGGCCAATCAAAGTACATGGTTAGGTAGTGATGTCATGGCGTTATTTAATATTTTACCCTAGAACAGTGCTCAAGAATCTTCATAGTGATCCACATGTTTTCCGCCACAGTTGTCTTATATGGCCTTTCTTTGATCTGCATGCTTCTTTTTAGCTGAATGCTGGTAAACGTCCTTTCTGACAGCCCCCTTTGCTCTTGCCTGCCATTATCTGCTGAAGTTCAGAAACCAGAGCATCACTTCAAACAGGAGAGTTAGGGAGTAGCCAGTCAGAAGAGATTCCTGAGGCATACAAAGTTCTGGCATAATCATTCAAAGATGTTTGGGTAGGGGGGTGGGGTGGTAGAGGTATATATGAATACAGAGAGCTGTGGGGGTTGGCCTCTGGTCACTGGTAAATAAGTGAAGTCAGGTGCCAGAGAGTCTAGACACAGTGATTCCAGTCATGGGTCTTTGGTATCTGATACTCAGTATGGGACTTGTCTGATTGAACACTGTTGCCTCTTCATTGCACCAACTGAAGCCCTTTTAGGACTTTCCTGGTAAATTAGGAAAAGATGACAACGAACATAGTTAAAACAGAACAAATCTAGTTTTAATATTTCCTAAGTGTCAGCAATTACACCTACTTTTGAAGTGCCATGGGTAGCAATCATATTAAAAATGTAAGGTTGTACAGAGATTGAACTAAACTCTTTTTTAATTTGAATAACTTGAGATGTTTCTCTTCCGTATTATGAAAAACTAATTCTGTATCACAATACATTCCATTCATATTTAGTCCTAATTTCTCTTGATTTGGAGGTAGCAGTTTGATAGATTTTCAAACCATGCATTATTTTTTAAAAACCTGGCTCCCGATTATTTATTTCTAAACATGATTTAACATGGGGTTATTTTTTTTAAAAAAATCCTCACCTCTAAACAAATCATCTAAACCTAATTTTTAAGTTCACTTTTTATACTAGAAAATTTAATTTTTGTTAACAATAAATAAATTTTGCTTTCTTAAAGCATTACTTCAATGTAACAGATCTTCATTATTATAAAAAAAGTTTTTAATATCAGTAAAAGTTTGTGTGCCAACCACCATGGATTTTGTATTACAGTATGGAAAATGTACCGTTGAGCCATCAGAAAAGTCATGACACGTTTTTGCATAGAACAACTTACAAAAAAATGTCTTGACTTTTCTACGACCTATTAATTTCATTAGAAGATTGCTACTACATTTTTAGTAATTTGTAATTTAATTTTTATTGGCAGATAACAGGTGAAATCTAGTAAATATGTATCCATATGTATCCATATGTATCCATATATATACATATATATATAATTAAACCATACACACACACACACACACATATGTATGTAAACTTATTTTGGCTATAGAATATCTTCTGTATATTATTAAGTGTCAATGATTCTTTACCCAGAGATTCGAGTGGTGGCAACATTTGTGGTTAACAGACAGCCCGATGGAAAACAACATGAGGCGTGCTAGCCATGTGTTTGCATGTGTTTTGCAGTTTATCAGTCCATTTGTGAGAATTATAATTCTAACAACTAGAGTGGTTATTATGTTTTTAATTTGGGCTTCCAGTTGTTCATTGCTACCATATAGAAATTTGATTGATTTCTGTATGTTGACTGTGCATTGTTTTTGAACTCAGACATCATCTGGAAGTAACAGAGTGTAATCAAAACAAGATTTAACCAGAAGGGGTCAAAAACAAATAAATATTTATTATTCACCCACTATTTATAAGGTACTATACTGAGTTCATGAAAGCATGTTGTTCTAGAAAGATATTGCCTTGAGATCAAACATAGAAAATTTTTAGATTGTAAATTTTAGGAGTAACTTGCGTATATTGTTAGCAATTTGGACTGAAAAATATCTATAATATGCACTAAGTTAATTTACCTATTAATAATAGAAGACTAGCTTCTCCAAACTATCATAAAGTTTGTTCATTTCTCCTTTATTATAGCAGTTGCCTCTCAGGATGGTGAATAGACTACAGCTAAATGGCATAGATAGCCCACCTTTTCCTTCTTACCTTTTTGTCTGCAGGTTTTCAGACCTTACTTCCCTTTCTCTGATCCCTAGAGTTCTTTTCTAGTTTTATGATGATGCCCAAATAATTGGATCTAGCCTGCAGCTTCAGTTGTCAGTCATATGTGACCTGGATTTGGACATTTCTTCTAAACTCAGACTTGTATTTATAAATTCTAAATGATTATGTGCACTACTCTTGTCACATAGGCAGCTTAAACTCAACGTTTCTCTAAAACCAGAATCACGATCTTCCCTTTAAAGTTTCACCTACTCCACCTCTCCTTTGTGGTAGATGTTAACACTACCATCCACACCATTGCTCAATGCAGAAACCTGGGAGTCATCTTTGACTCCTCCTTTCCCTAGTCTTAACAGTTAGTTAAATTCCATTTGAGGATTGGCCCCATGGCCCAGTGGTTAAGGGAGTCAGATCCCATATGGCTGACTAGGGTTTGAATCCTGTTCCCTGTAGCTTAAAAAACATGCCAGGTACATGCACATGCATTCCCAAAATCCCAAACAGAGGGAGAAATGGAGGAGAAGGGATTCTGGTGTGACCGTACCCCATAGGGAGGTGCTTTCACCCTCACTCTCTCTTTTGCTGTCTCTCAAGCATATGTGCCTTCTAGCATGAAAAGAAATCCCATTTGTGTTATGTTTACTAAATATTATTTAATGAAGTCTTTTGTCTCTAGGAAGACTCTTTTATCTCCGCTAGGATCCTGCCTAGTCCTGGAGCCATCCTCTCACCTGGACTTTTCCTATAGCCTTCTACTAATAGATAGTTGCTCTGTTTCATCGGTTTTCCACACTGACCAGATCTTTTTGAGACATGAATCTTATCCTGATACTTTCCTTTAGAAGTCTTTAATGGCAACCTGTTGTCCTTAAGATGAAGCCCAAATTCCTTAACATGTACTTCAGGGCCTGGCTGACCTGGCCTTTACCTTTCCATCTCTCAACACTGCTTTCCTTATTCCAACCACACTCTTCCTTTTACTTCTTCAAGTCCTGTCTGCATTGTGACCTTTGCACAAGCTTTTTTTTTTTTTTTTTTTTTGCTTGAAATACTTTGGTTTTAAACAATATTTTTAATTCTGTAAGTGCACAGGTTTTGTCTAAGTTTCCCATATATTCTCCACTAGGAAATTTACATTTAATGCTCAGCATATAGTAATTCATTAACTACTTTTACATTCAGTTATTGAACAGTGAAAGTGTGCCAGTTTTATGTGTTAAAATGTAAATCGTGGGTCAGCTGGTGGCATGGTGGTTAAAGCGGCCGGATTCCTCATGGCTGGCTGAATGGTTCAAGTTCTGAAACACTGCTTGGAAAATTCACTGTGTATGTGTGTTTGTGCACCCCCAAAATCCCAAAAGGAGAGAGAAATGGAGGAGAAAAGATTGTAGCATGACCACTTCCCGTGGAGGTGCTGTCTCACTTTTCCTCTCTCTACCCCTTTCTCCAGTGAGCACGTGCCACCCTCTTATAAATTTTTTGAATGTAACTTATATTGAATGTACAGTCTGAGATAATACATTATGATAAAGTATTAATATTGTTCCTGGATTTTTGTTTTTGAGTAAAATATGCCCTGTGCTTTTTTGCTAGTTAATGAAGATGCTCTTTGAATGCTCCGATGAACGAATTGACTTGGAACTCATTTCTTTCTGCATTAACCTTGCTGCTAACAAGAGGAATGTGCAGCTTATCTGTGAAGGTCAGTGACTTTGAGCTGCACAGGGAGCCTCTTGAGTATATGCTAATTGGCATATGATGGAAAATAGATAATAAAGAATAGAGATGATAGTGGATCTGTAAGTCCTAATTTTAAATAGTTGCTTCATTTTTAACTGTAATTCTTAAAGGTCAGGTAGAATAGTCTTACATCATGAGTGTAGACAAACTTCAGTAACATTTTTAGGAATCATGGTCATGTAGCCTTAATTAAAAATAGATTTTTAAAGCATTTCCTAGGTGAAACACAACTTTTAATTTGCAGAGCAGTTTATTACAATGTAAGGTAGTAAAGTACAAATGTATTTTGTATATACATTATGATGATTTAGTCTGCTCAGTAGGTTTTTTTATTTAAAAAGTAAATGCATACTCATTTTAAGAGGTACAAATGAGCAAATAGGAAAAAAACTTAAATCCTTACTATCTAGAGATAATCATAGGTATAATTTTGGTGTAATGCTGCTGCTTATTTTTAAATAAAAATGTGGCTCTTATCTCTATATATTATGACATGTTCTTTTAAAATTAATACTGTTGGGGGCTGGCAGGTGGCATGGTTGTTGAGGCGCTAGACTCCCACATGGCTGACCACAGTTCAAGTCCTAGACTTGGCAGCTTGCTTTCTCATTCTCCCTTTTTCTCTCTCTCTATCTCTCTCTCTCTCTGATCACATTAAAGTAGAATAATAATGATAATAAAATGAAATAATTCTTTAAAAATTAATATCTTGAATATGTCATTTAATTTTAAGGCATAAATTATTAATAGCTAAAAAATAGTTAACTAAAGAAATCTGCCATAGTTTATTCTACTATTTGGGACATTTACTTTGTTGCCACTTCTCTGTAACAGACAATACTGCAGTAATTATTCTTTCTCCAAATTTTAAGAAAATTTTTCCATGTAAATATTCTTAGGATAAATTTCTAGAAGTACAATTTTTCTGGGTCAAAAGTATTATTTTTTAGACTTATGGTACATATGCCAGACATAGAAGAATACGTAATGCATGATTTTATTTATATAAGAAGTTCTAGAACAAGCAAAACAATCTATACTTGAAAAAGAGGAAGAAAGTAAAAATGAGGAAGAAAGAAAAATGCTTGTATTTAAGAATAGGAATGAGGAGGAAGGGCACAAGGGTACTTTATGGAATGAGTGGAAAGTTTCTACATGTTGAGATGGTTATGGGTTACATGGGTGTATGCATTTATTTTAAATCAATTAAATTTTATATTTAAGATTTATTCATTTTACTGGATGTAATTTTTGTGAGAACTAACTGAACAAAAATTACCAAGCTTAAGTTAACCATAATTTTATTGGAGGAATATTCTGTTTTTTGTTTCAGGAAATGGGTTGAAGATGCTCATGAAGAGGGCTCTGAAGTTCAAGGATCCACTGCTGATGAAAATGATTAGAAACATTTCCCAGCATGATGGACCAACTAAAAATTTGTTTATTGTAAGTATAAGTTTTGGCTTCCTACTTATTAAATAGACTATTAAAGTTTAAATTGCTACATTGCTTTCTGTTCTTGTCAGTTATTAATTCATAACCCAAATTGGCTCTTGTTATGAATGTTTTTGTAAATTTAGCTCTGAGAAATCTCAGCCTACCTTTTTTTTTGTTTTGTTTTCATCTTGTTTATGAGTGCGTACACTTGCCAGAAAGAGAGGAGAAAGCATTCCCCATGGGGAATGTTCACAGTGCAATACCTTCTCCCCATTTTTCCATCCTGCCAGGATTTAGGGCACAAATGCTTATGCACCCAACATGTTTTTTTTTTGAGAGGTTTTTGCTACAGGGCATGTGCGCTTGCCAGAAAGACAGAGACAGAAAGCAAGAAGTTACCCCCCCAGGGGAGATAGCCACGCCACAATCCCTTCTCCTCCATTCTCCTCTCGGGATCTGGGGCACACACACACATGCGCCTGGCATGAGTCTAAGCCACCAGGTCAGGGACTCAAACAGTGGTCAACTGCATGGGAGTCCAGCAACATAGCCATTATGCCAACTGCTGATCCCACCCAACATGGTTCTTAAGCTCCCTGGTCTGGAATCAAACGACGTGGCCGGCCATGTGGGATCTGATCTCTTTAACTTCCAGGCCACAGAGCCAGTCCTCAACCTGCAGTTTAATGTTTTTGTTTTGTGATCCATGCCCCTAATTTTTCTACCTTCCCTGCAGTATTTAACAAATTGGCCTGAAACAAATTCACCATAGGCTGCCTTAGCAATTTAGTACAGGATTATGAAAACAAAAAAATCACATTTGTTAGGTATGTTGTCTTACTATGAATTAAACTATTAGATTGGTTCTCCTCATAAATACTATTTTAGAGGTTGGTAGGTAGCGTGATGGTTGGGAGCTCTGGACTCCCACATGTCTACTGCAGTTCGAGTCCCAGATCCAGGGGCTTGCTTTCTCACTTTTTCCCTCTCTCTGTCTACCTCTGTCCCTCAAATTAAAAATGAATGAATGAGGGACCAGGCAGTGACATGGTGGTTAAGGGTGCTGGACTCCTACATGGCGGACCACGGTTTGAGTCCCAGACCTGGCGGCTTGCTTTCTCACTTTACATCCCGCCTCTAGTCAAATTAAAATAAATAAATAAAATTAAATGACCTTTTTAAAAAAAATGAATAAATAAAGTTAAATAAAAAAATAATTCCTTAAAAATTAAAATAAATAAATACTACTTTAAATTTGTATTAAAAATCTGTTTTATTCAGGATTATGTTGGGGACCTTGCCGCCCAGATCTCTAATGATGAAGAGGAGGAGTTTGTGATTGAATGCTTGGGAACTCTCGCGAATTTGACCATTCCAGACTTAGACTGGGAATTGGTTCTTAAGGAGTACAAATTGGTTCCGTACCTCAAGGATAAATTAAAACCAGGTCTGTGCTAAGCATTTTATTTTTGCATATCACTAAGTTATTTTTTATAAAAATGTGGATAGAGCTGCTCAAACAGTACTCTGTGACTATCTTTGTACTGGCAAATGTTTTCTTCCTACAGCTCTGTTCTTCCAGAATGGCAGTCACTGATCTTCTCTTATGTGTGTGTTCTCCTCTCTTCTAACAGCATATTTTCTTAATATTACTTTCCCTCCCCTAGCCTACCTTTCTTCTTGTTTTTTGTTTTTCAATATTACCTTTTTAAAATTCCCAAATATTATTCCCTCTACACATGTACACATGCGTTAATATTTAAATAAGTCTTTTATTGTTTGTGTCTATATCATCATTTAGTTTCATTTTCAAAGATTTATTTCCACTTCTCTATTATTGCCTGCCACCATCATGATTTGTTCTCAGTGAACTTAGAAATTTGGAAAAAGATGGGTCAACTGATGGCTAGGGTTACGGTGCTGGACTCCCACATCTCTGACCATGGTTCAAGGCCCAGACCCAGTGGTTTGTAACTCATACCTAGCACGTGTCTATGCATGACCAAAATTCCAGGAGGAGAATAGAGAAAGGATTTTAGTGTGGTCATCCTCTGTAGGAGGTTAATAATCTTGAGTTATGATGCTAAAGGAGCTATGATGAATTTGTTTAAGGCCACTTTAATTCTCACTGTCTCTCTGTCTGTCTAGCAAATGCACACACTGTATGGCAAAAACCTAAAAAAGAAAGAAAGAAAGAAAGAAAGAAAGAAAGAAAGAAAGAAAGAAAGAAAGAAAGAAAGAAAGAAAATTGGAAAAAGGACAAATATATCAACATGTCAGGGATCATAGAAACTGATTTAATAGCTTTCAGTACCTTTTTCTATGGTTTTAAATTTTGATAATACAGATGGATTTGGATCAGGACATCTCTCTCTCTCTTTAAAATTAGATTGCAGAAAATTAAAAATAAATAAATAAATAGCTCCCAGAGGGCAGTTGCACTCACTAAAGAGTGAGAGAGAACTAGAGAGAGAGAAAGGGACAGCACCCATCAGAGGAGCACGGTTATACTACAGTCCTTTCTCCTGCAGTTTTCCACCCCATCAGAACATGGGGTGTGCATGCACACACACATGCCCAGTGTGCTTTTCAGACTGCCAGGGCCAAGGTTCACACTGCAGTCAGCCAAAGGCGATCCAAATTTCTAAGCACAGCACTTAGCTATTGCACCACAGGGCTAGCCCTAGATCATAACGGTCTCAGTGAAAACTTTCTGTGGTTTGACTTTACTAGGTGCTGCAGAAGATGACCTTGTTTTAGAAGTGGTTATAATGATTGGAACAGTGTCGATGGATGACTCTTGTGCTGCATTGCTCGCCAAATCCGGGATAATCCCTGCACTCATTGAATTACTAAATGGTAACTTATTTTAATTCCTATTAATTTAAATTTTTACTATAAAATGCAGAATCTGCAATCATGAAATAGTTTTTACCTTGTTATATTAATCATCTTGTGGAAATTTAAATTATATAATTTTTTTAAATGATTTAAATATATCACTGACTGGGATTAGACAGAGTCACATCAAAGAGATTTAGGTTGCGAAGTTAAGAATTTTTCCATAAAGAAATTCAGAACTGATTTTACTAGTTCTCCTCTCACCAGCCTTGAACAACTAACACTCTATTATTTCTTCTTTCTGTTGAACTTTGTGTTGTTTTGAGTTGAATCTCCTTTCTGTATAGCCCTGCTCTTTTCTTTCTTTCTTTCTTCCTTCCTTCCTTCCTTCCTTCCTTTCTTTTTTCATAATAGAGATTGGGGAAGAGCGAGAGCAGCGACTTCACAGAGCTTGGGCGCTCTGTGACCCCTTCCGCCTCTCACACTTTCAAACCAGCGGGGCTAGGGACACAGACTGCAGTTAGCACACTGCCGACTGCACCACAGAGGCTGAGCCCAACTTTGCTTTTTACATCTCTAATCCTAAGTAGGAAAATTCTTGTGGAAGCTGATTCTGAATATCATATTCCCTTCTAGATCCAGAGGATATTGTCTCAGCGCTTTCTGTGATGATGAAAATGTTCTGTGTCTATGAAGTCCAAAAAATGTAAAACCTGAACTGTGGCTGTCAGTACTGAGAACCTGAATTTTTCAAATTAATTTAATTAGCTTGTAGTGGCTTACAATTACAGTATTCCACAGCACAGACACACAGTCTCCCCTTTACTGTTGTGAACCTTGACCTGATTCTTCGTATTACATGCAAAATACTTCAGAATTAAAGTTACTGTATTACGGCCAGCTTCTCTAGAATAGTATACACTGAAAGTAGATGATACTATAAAAATTTTAAATGCTAGGACCAGCAGATGGCATAATGGTTACATGCTGGATTCCCACATAGTTGATCGCAGTTCAAGTCACGCACCTGACCCCTTAAAACTCACACTCGGTGCATGTGTGTGTGTGTGTGTGTGTGTGTGTGTGTCTAAGATCCCAAGAGGAGAATGGAGGAGAAGGGATTGTGGAATGGCCATCTCCCCTGGGGGTGATTTCTCACTTTCTGTCTCCCTGTCTTTCTTTCTTTCTTTCTTTCTTTCTTTCTTTCTTTCTTTTTTTGTGAGGTTTTTGCTATAGGGCGCGTGCACTGGCCAGACAGACAGAGAGAGACAGAGAGACAGAAAGTGAGAAATCACCCCCAGGGGGGATGGTCACGCCACAATCCCTCCTCCTCCATTCTCCTCTTGGGATCTTGGGCACACACGCACACACACTCGGCATGAATTCTAAGCCACCGGGTCCGGGACGCGAACCGCGGTTGACTTCGTGGGAATCCAGCGACATAGCCATTATACTAACTGCTGGTTCCCTGTCTCCCTGTCTTTCTCTGTCTTTTTGGTGAGCACACGCATCCTATAGCAAACATCTCTTTAAAAAGATAAAAAGTTAGGAACCAGCAGTTAGCATAATGGCTATATCGCTGAACTCCCACATAGTCAACCACGGTTCCCATCCCTGACCCAGTGGCTTAAAACTCACACCGGGTGCATGTGTGTGCGTGCCCAACATCCCAAGAGGAGAATGGAGGAGAAGGGATTGCGGCGTGACCATCCCCCCCTGGGGGGTGATTTCTCTCTTTCTGTCTTTATGTCTCTGTCTGTCTGGCAAGCGCACGCGCCCTATAGCGAAAACCTCTCAAAAAAAAAAAAAAGATAAAAAGTTTAAAATACTAATATGAGATTGTAAAGGATATACCATCTCAGTCCTTCTTATACCAGATATATGACAGAACTTCAAAAGGTCATGGAAAAGGAGAATTAAAGTACAAGTTTATTTCATTTCATTTTATTTTATTTTATTTCTTTTTGTGGGGAAAGGTTTTTTGCTATAATCAAATTTAGAAAATTTGATTTGTAAGTTATTATAACAGGTCATCTAAAGCTAATACCCTATATTTTAGTTATTATTTTTTTTCAAAATTGTGGGATGTATATTTACTTTGGTATACTCTTCTCACAGCCAGAAGTTTTCATATTAGAAATAATTAAGAGAGAGAGTAGGTAGTTAGAAGAGAAAGTGCAGATAATGGAGTTTACAGAGTAGGAATGAAGACTTCATGGCAAATGGGAGAAAGTTGAAGCAAAGTGACCTGTGTCCTAGAATGGCTATCCCGCAGTGATTATTGTTAAAAGAGCTGAGCTATGGGGCCATCAGGTGGCATGGTGGTTAAGGAGCTGCATCTCACCTTGCCGCCTCTGCAGTTTGAGTCCTGGACACAGCAGCTTGAAAATCACACTGGGCATGTGTGTGTGTACATGCCCAAAATTCCTAGAGGAGAATGGAGAAGAGTTTGTGATGTGGCCATCCACTTGGGGTGATTTTTCACTTTCCTTCTCTCTCTCCAGCGAACACACATGCCCTATGGCCAAAAAAAATCTAAAAGGAAAAGAAAGAAAGCTGAGCTATGTGTTTTACTCAAGAGTTTTTACTCTGTTTTGGTGTTCTCTGACATGAGATTATCACAGGCAGAGGCTATATAATCGTCTTTTCAAAGAAATATGTATATTTTCAGGCTTAAAATCCTTGGGGTTAAGTGAGGGGAAACGGTGTACCATGAGAGTAATTAATAGTGAGAACTCAACCCAAATAGTTTAGGAGAGTAATACTTTGGCAAGGTAATGAGGGAGCTCATTTGGGACATACTAGACTTTAAAGGGCATATAATTTATTTCATAAATCTAGTTGGACATTCTGATGACTTGGAAACCTGTTTTTAACATGTCATTGAACTGTTGCCAGGAGTTGATAACAAACTATACTACTAATAAATTGAAGTTTGTAGCCAATACCTAAAATTAGATTTCTGTCAGTAATTTTATTTTTGCCATTGCATATTAATCAATGTACATAACTATTCTGTTAAAATAGTCTTTGTATGATATTAAACTTTTATTAATTAGCCTTTTTTACTATGTAACATGGATTTTACTAATTAGATTTAAACTAAAATACCAAGAATTTTATGATGGTATGCAATTTAATTTTGTGAACATCACTCAACAAAAGAAAATACTTCTTTTATAGTGATCCAGTTTCTACCGAAAAACTTAAAGAATTTAGAAGGGTTTTTTTTTTAAATAATTGGTTTTCTCCTGTGAAATCAATATAGATGAAATAGAACCAGATCTATTTCACACATTATAATTATTTGAAAAATTTTTATGATGAACAAAAAGAAAGTGGTGTTACCATTTCATGTTAGGAACATAGAAGTTAATTTAATAAATCTCTCCATGTCTGTTGACAAAGTATAGAGGAGATTACAGAAAGCCACTGTTAATACCTTCTTAAATGAGTCATGCCCCTCAGTTCCTCCAAATCTCTCTATGAACTATCTCAGTTCCTCCAAATCTCTCTATGAACTATCTCAAGTAGTTCAATTTAACCTCAGAGCTGATAAAATTTCTGTTTCTCAAAATCTTCACTGTTTTGAATTTCAAAGTATTTTAACCTGTTTGGTTTAATTAAAACCACATTTCTTAAAACTTTTGAAAAAAATATTATGAAAGTTTCTCGATGTAATTTATAATAAATACCTAAAATGATGACATATAACTCATATGTTATAAATAATTTAAATTAGTTTTCCTTTACTTGTCTCCTTGTCACTTTATTTTTCTAATTCTGTTGCTCCCTTCAGTGTTTCTCAATCTGGTGTATAAACATAGTAGTCTTTTATTTGAAGTTTTGTTTTATTTCAGCAAGATGATGAATTTGTGTGTCAGATCATTTATGTCTTCTACCAGATGGTTTTCCACCAAGCCACAAGAGACGTCATAATCAAGGAAACACGTATCCTTTCAGTGTTTAAAATAGCTAATGACATTTCACATATTCAGGAAGGATGAATTTTTGTATTTTTTATAAATACTGAAACCGTATAGCAACACCAAGCTTTGAAATAAATTTAAAGACAACCTATTTCCCATGGATGCTTTAGACCCCAGATCAGTGTGTGGGTAGAATATAATGAGAACAATTGTATTAACTTGTCAGGTATAGTTATAGTTCCTGGAAACTTAAAAACTTCCTTCTCTGCTAACATAATGTAAGTATCAGTGGTCTCTAGGACTGCCCTTGGTCCCCTTCTAACCTTACCTCAGTTACTGTACATGGTAAGCACATCTGTCCCCACAATTTAAGCCGTACTCTGAGTAAGTATTACCTTCAACACCTCTTTCTTGAGTGGGGACATTTGATGCCAGCTGCTGCTTTGGATGTCTTTCACCTACATAAAAGAGCATACATAGCATGGTGTAGCTTAAAGAGTGTTGTAACCCAGTAGCCAGAGTTTTACATTACCTTTTACCACTTCCTAGCTACAGGGCCTTGGGAAAGTTACTTAACCTCCTTAGCACACAATCTCACGTCTACAAATGGCTGTAAGATGTTAAAAGCTCTCTTACCTTATAGTATTGTTATAAGTATTAATAGATTTAAAGTGCCCAACAACAGAGGTACTCAGCAAATGGTAGTTCAGTATTGTATCCAAAAAGAGCCTCGATGTTGCCAACACTGTCCCCTAAAAAACAAAATTACTGCCTTCTCTGTTCACTGGATAACAACTATATCTTCCACATAATCCCTTAAGCTGAAAATTTTGGTATCTATTTATGTTACTATGTATATATATTAATCATTAATTTATTCTGCACACATTTATTCTGCACATAAGCTCTGACTGTCTAAACAAATACTGGTTTAAATGCTCGAGTTATAAGAAAATCAGTCCTTGTTCTCAAGAAGTTTAAAGTCTAAGTGGAGAGACAGGTAAATAAGAAACATAAATTGTAATCTGGTATGCTCAGTGTCATGAAGCCATATGGACAGGACACACAAGACCCAACAGGATATATAATCGAGCCTAGAGATGTCATGAAAGATTGGCTGTAGAGGTCATATTTAAGCTGAATCTGTCTTTGTTTTTTAATTGTGGTGATGTATTTTTCAAAAATCTCCTTTTAAACTCCACTCCATAAAATCCTTCATTACCCATGAGAATAGTCCAAATTCTTTTGCTTAGTATATATAGTTCTTTATAACCTGGCCTTAACCTATTAATTTTTCCAAAGTGTTGTAGTGACCTAACAATTATATAATATCAACCATTGCAGTAAAGAAAAAATTAACACAAATTCATGTAGATTCTTTTTAATTTCCCTTGAGTATTTCTAAGATTTTCCTAAGAATTTATATTTTCTCCTAAAAAAAAAACCCATGTGAAGTATGTATAGAGCATGTTGTTTGTTTATCCATTAAATGAAAACTTACTGAACATCTATTATGTTCTCATATCTAGGGGTTCTGTGGTAAATAAGATAGACAAAAAACCCTGTTTTATTTTATTTAACTTTATTTATTTTAATTTGATCAGAGAGGAGGGGAAAGAGAGAGGAAGAGAGGGAGGAAGAGAGGGAGGGAAAGTGAGAAAGTAAGCCACCAGGTCCAGGACTGGAACTGTGGGAGTTTAGTACCTTTAACCACCACACCACCTGCCAGCCCCAATACCATATATTTTTGACTGTCCTAAATTGTTTATTAGGTATGAAGTTTACCAACATTTCTTAGATTAGCAGTAATGGTGGAGCTGGAGAGTATTGCGCTACCTCCAAGCTGCACAGTGAGAACCACCAGTGGTGTAGTGGAACTTGTGGCCCTTCCAAGGCCTCAGCTCTTGAGGCCTGTGGATGTCAGCCCACGCTTCTCCCTGTGCTTGCAGACTGGTTTGGTAAGCCACTTGTGTCAGGGTTTCTTCTAATAGCTTTATAGAAAGGATCAATGAGGAAAGAATTTGTGTGGAATCTTCACCCACCCAGTAAGAACTGAGGACTCTACGAGCCCCACAGTCGCCTCCAGCTTGCTCCTCTGCAACAGACTGAAGGCTTCGAGCAAACTTGAGCTGATTTACAAAGTGATGGACAGACAGGCTTGCCATTGGTTGCACTCTTGGGGACTGGGCATTTGTGGCCTTCACACACACATGAATCCTGTATAGGACATAACCATGCTTCTCCTTGTATCCCAGTCTGAGGGCTTTATCTGGTGGGTAGGGCAGGGTGCCCCATGCAGCACTGGGTGCTGGTAGGACTGCCAGCAGCAGACTGTAAGAAGAAAGCACAACACAATGGACTGCTGCTTCCACCACCGTAATGGCCCCTGAATGTACTTGTAGGCACCCATCTTGGCTTAACTGATGGCTGCCACCAGACGGAAAGGCCATATTGTTGTCATCGTTTTTTTTTTTTCTTTTTTTTTTTTAAAGAGAGATTTCTGCTATAGGATGCATGTACTCACCAGAGAGACAGAGACAGAGAGATAGAAAGAGAGAAATCACCCCCCAGGGGAGATGGCCACACTGCAGTCCCTTCTCCTCCATTCTTCTCTTGGGATTTTGGGCATGTACGCACACAAGCCTGGGTCTAAGTTTTTTTTGTTTTTTTTTTTTTTTGAAAGTTGGATATTTATTTTAATCTAAGAACTTCAAATTCTAAATAGCTTTGAGATGCCCACAAATATACTTAAGATTGCAAAGAGGAACTTGTAGCTTGAAACTCTTAATATATCTATTTGACAGATATAACAAAGTAATTTTTAAAATAAATCTTCCCTAATGGCCATACATTTGATATGATTTTATTTGACCTTTTGTCCTACTAATAAATTAGCTTAATACATTTTTCAAAGTGTCTTCCTGGAATGTGTTTCTTCAAAAACTAAGTATTATTGGAGAAGAAGGAAGGTTTCTGCAGTCGAATAGGATTTCAAACATGCTCAGTTAAAGGTGTTTCTTCCCTATAGGACTT